GAGGAAACCGTTGTTGGGTGCCCCTGTTATGAAGTGCTAACAAGAAAGAGTTCTTAAAAACCTACAAAGAATCATTTATTATAGGGCTTAGTCGAGTTTGACAAATTTAAGTGCCGCGACAAATAAAAGAGCAAAAAAAGCATCCTAGCCCCCGGTACTTATGTACTCAATAACCCAGCAAGAACACTCCTCGTTTCAAAAACCACATAATGAAAATCCCAGTGGAACAGCGTTGATTTGAGAGAGTTTTTAGTTTACTTCAGATGGCAAAGTTATTTCAGTGATAAAGTTTGCATGTACTCAACTGATTAAGGTAAAATTAGTATAAACATAATGTTCAAACGAATAGCTATTAAAATGGAAATTGTTTTTAATTACTTTTAAGGGCGACTAATTAGGGGTAAGTCCTTTCGGAAGAGGGTGGACATTGTTATTTGCAACTGAATTGAAATGATATAAAAAGAAATACAATACAGTAATAAGTCATCTCACTTGAGTTGGCCGCTCGGTAGCATATCAAACAGCCACCAAACACTTTTGTTCAAGGAAAACAGTAAACTAAGGTAAAGATAATAATATATTACTACTGACGTTTATAAATGCAACTGAATTTGTTGGACTCTACTAAAACTTTAACAGAGTGCTCTTAATTGTTTTTAGAATTGTTTGTTTTTTTTTTTCGCCGCATTCTACTAGCTAGTTTGAAATGAGTGTTAGTAATATAATGTACTAATGCATGCTTTTTTTTTTTCTTGTTATAACGTTCAGTCGTATCAATTCGTGCAGTTGCGCCAACTATATAGCTTAAACGAAATGACCAACTTTTTTTCTTTTTCCTTGCTTTTGAAACTGTGGAAGCCGTATGACTATGTCATAGGTACAGATAGAGTGAAAATATGATGATCATCGTTCCATATTCTCACCAAATATGAACTGCTTACGGACGCATTAAAATCACCATCCGCTGGGCAAACCGGCTTATTTCTATAATAAAAGAAAACAAACAGAACGTTATATTATTTCAAGGAGAAAGCTAGGCTGTCTGTATTAGAAGTATTTAACTAGTTTCAACTATAACTCGTTTTCAAAAAAAGGCTTGAAACCATTTTGCAGTTGCGTAGAAAAATGAAGAACATTGTCAATTATGAGTTTTCGTTTTTTATTTATTTTCTACAATACAGTCAAACACCTCATTATAACGGACAGTCTGCTCTTTCCCTGGAGAAGCAAAGCCCTTACACTTTTTTCAATTCAACCTGCCTAATACGGACACCCCGTTAAAACAGACACTTTCTATGCCCCCCCCCCTCCCCTTTACTGTCCGTATTAACGGGATTCGACTGTATCTGCTCTAAGGCAGAGTTAAAACTGATGCTTTTCGAACACACGCTTTCTTAACAAACCCTGGTTTGTTGGCCTGTCGACCGTGGTAGACTTATCATTTCCGGACGACCCTAATGCTGTTTTCAGCTATCTGTGTTCTATATTTTTTTTTTTGAAAAAAAAAAAAGAAAATTATTTTTTCAAAAAAAAAAGGTTTTAAAAAATATTAAAAAATTTTTTTTAAAAGAATTAAGTTTTAGGTTTTTTTTTAAAACTTTTAAAAAAAAAAACTGAACAATGGTGTATTTTTATGTCTTTTAATCTAAGGCAGAGTTAAAACTGATGCTTTTAGAACACACGCTTTCTTAACAAACCCTGGTTTGTTGGCCTGTCGACCGTGGTAGACTTACCATTTCCGGACGACCCTAATGCTGTTTTCAGCTATCTATGTTCTATATTTTTTTTTTGAAAAAAAAAAAATCTATTCTTAGAGAAAAACGGGTTTGAAACAATCTGAGATACTATTTATGAGACGACTTAGCTTTGAGCTTGATTTTAAACACTTTAAACAAACACAGCGGATAATGAGTGTATTGTAAGATCTTCGATATCTTGATGAATCTGGTCCTAAAAAAATCTGTTATTACGTACATGTAGGCGATAACATGCAAATTTACCTATTGTTTTTAACGATATTATCAGAGCTGAATCGAAAATAACGAGCTTTCAAAAATTTGATAACTGTTGACTAAATGGATTTACTTTTTTCGAATATGATCACCAAAAATACAAATCCTTCATCATTTAACATTGTTTTCTCCAGTCAAAAAACAACAGATTGCATTTGTTCTCACGAGTATAGAGAACCCTGTCTACTTAAAAAAGGATTATAATTATGTGTTCATCCTTTTTGTCTTGAAAGTTCTTAAATTGTAATTTGCTATCAGGAAAACATTTTAATTATTTTTAATTCTAAGATTCATAATAAATGGCTATAAACATTATAAAGGACAGGGTCCAATTTCTTTTCACTATGCCGACGGCTTCCCGCCTGTTTTCAGGCACTAGGTGTTTGACATTTTAAAGCGGCTCGAAAGGGTTTCAGTTCAGGGTCAGTACCTCCCAAGTCTGAGCATAAACTACTTCGCCATCATCGAGCTACAATGATATCGGAGTTGCCATAGCAACGAAATGAAACCATTACCTATTTTTCTTGTGATCATTTCTCGGCACTGGGTGCTTTTCAGTTCCAAACCGCTCACGAAGCTTTTTTCTCCTCGATGTTCGAAATCTATAAGAGCGTTATCGAGATATTTTGGGATAATGAGAGGCTCTCACTTGTAAACAAGAAATTTTCGACAAAAAATGAGCGAATTCTAGCCCTCATGAGGATAGTTTTGGGTCATAAGTTCCTGTTTAGGTCAATTCTGCACTGAAGATATCATTTACGCGAGGCGAAGAAAAAAGATATCTTTGACTCGGTTGTGATCGAACTCACGACTTCAGGATTAGACCTGCCGTTTGTCTACCGACTGAGCTGAGCTACGAGTCGATACGAGGCAGCTGTGACGGGTGTATGATGTAACTCCCCGTCCACACGTATCTGGATATTTTTTAAAAGGGATATTTTTTTCGTTTGAACCTCCTTTACATAGTTTCCTCCTTTACGAATGGATGGACGAAAACGGAGGTTTTCGAATAGGATGATTTCAGCCATGAATCATAATTATACGACTAACATTACGCGTGCTCTATAGGGGATGCTTCCGTATTTCTGAGTATTAGCCCTTCTGAAGGAAATTTAGGGAATCGGCACTCCGCAAAGCAAAGTATTCGATTTTCCACTTGTGTGCCTCAATCGTTTTTATTCCTCCAATACTCATACTTTGTGATTTATTCATCTTCATTTAGTTGACTGAATTGTGCGCAGGTGTAGTACAGGCCAAACGAAATGATGCGTCCATCGGTCATTATCTTGTTACTCGTGGCTTCCCATATCTGTTATGGTGCTCCACCAGGAGCAGAGTACCCAATTCCAGACATTCCTTTTGATGTTGCATTGGAAGATAACCAAGTCGAAAAAAGAGCTGGTGTGTATTCAAAGTATAAAGGAAATATTTGTACTAATAATTGCAATCAGTAATAACAATAATATTCAACACAAAAAAACGTTTAACTCTGGAAAACGATAAATATGGAGGTCTCTAAATGACGACTTGACTGTCGAAGTTGTAACCTTGTAACCTTGTAATTAAAGCAATTTGCAAATTAAGCTCGACAAATGTTTGGGCCTTCAACGAGATTCGAAACCTTGGTCCCCGCGATAGAGCTGCAGTCCTTTGCCAGTCGAGCTAGGAAGACCCATACATTGGTAGCAGACCCTGACTTTATCTTAATCCGTTCTTAAATTGCAATTTAAACTGCCACGGTTATTATCCTCAATTAAATATTTCTACATTTCCTTAGATCAAACCATCTTCATAGTGACTGTAAGTTATATCACTTTCATGTGTTTAGATATGGTCAGTAAATTAGCCTGCTCCCAATGTATCGGTCTTCATAGCTCAGTTGTTGTTAGGACACTGCAGGGCCAAACACTAAGGCCAAAGCCTCGTAGCCGAAGCCATGAGCCTTCAAGCGTCACAATAGAGCGGTTTTCATTTGAGTGTCGAAAAGTAATTGGTTTTGCACTTTCTACACGATGCGATTGGCTTAAAAGATTCGCGCCACCTTTTCATCCAATCAGAAGTAAAACCAAAGCCAATTGTGACGCGCTCGCATGCATTTTCCCGCGCTTTGCGTCAGCCACATGTAATTACTTCGAGTTTTGATTGGTTCAATGTATTGTCTGTGTCCT